AAATAGCTCTTTTTAAAAACAGAAAACTAGATCTAAATATGAAAGCGGATTAGTGCCACTGGGGAAAAAAAGTAAAAATTTCTGACTTTAATCTCAGAATTCCGAGAAAAAAGTCTGAATTCTGACTTAAACCAACTAAAATATAGCAAAAAGATCAAATTAGCTAAATAGTAGCAAAAGACCCAAATTAGCAAAACAGTGGCTAAAAGCTAAAGTTTGCAAAACAGTAGCTAAAACAAGAAAATGGTAGCTAAAAGCCAGAATTCTGACTTGTTCCTGAAAAGAGCTGATTTCTGATTGGATGAATCATCAAAACTGGTTTCTGATTGGATGAATCATCAAAACTGGTTTCTGATTGGATGAATCATCAAAACTGGTTCCTGATTGGACGAATCATCAAAACTGGTTCCTGATTGGATGAATCATCGAAACTGGTTCCTGATTGGAAGAATCATCGAAACTGGTTCCTGATTGGAAGAATCATCTAAACTGGTTCCTGATTGGATGAATCATCGAAACTGGTTCCTGATTGGAAGAATCATCGAAACTGGTTCCTGATTGGATAAACTCAGAATTCAGAGACAAAAGTCAGAGTTATTTTATTTTTCCCCCCCAGTGGCTTTTTGAATCTAAAAGTCCAACTGGATTAACATTTTTTTTATAATCAGAAACACGTTTTCATTCACACACTGCTCTTCAGGAGTTCAGAGTTCTGTTGTATTTTCATCCTACTTTTAAGGCATAAGATCACTTAATGAGTAACAAGAACTCTACTTTAAAAACAGCTGATTTGGCTTAATTTACTTCATGCTTCAAAGTTGGTTATTAAAAAAATAAACAACTTTTAACTGCTTGACTAAAATGTTAATTTCTCCCTGACAGGTACGTCAGTGATGTCAGTGTTGGCCACAGACGCAGACGACCCAATGACAGAAAACGCTGCCCTGAGCTACTCCATCGTTAGCCAGGAGAGCATTCCCGCCAACGCCGTGACCAAAACCATGTTTGGCATCAACAACCAGACGGGCGCCATCTACACCCGAGACGTGGGTCTGGACCGAGAGGTAGAGCAGAGGCAGGTTCACGCAGATGCTCGGGGTTTTTCTTCTATCTAATAAACGTGCTGTGTTCTCTCTCAGGTGGTGCAGGGCTTTAAGCTGAAGCTAAAGGTGGCTGATTTAGGAGGCGAAGGTCTGAGCGGCGAGGCCGAGGCCATCATACTTGTGTCTGACATCAACAACCATCCGCCGAAGTTCAGCCCCACCTGGGTGAGCCAAACATCAGGAAGGCTTTGAAAAAAGTTACGAAAAAAGTTATGAAAGCTGACAGCCAAATGACAGCTGAAACATGTCGGAGAAGCTAAAACCGAATTAAAAAACTAAAATTAGCAAAAACTTGAAGCTAAAATAAAAAACAACTTAAACCAGCTAAAATATTGCAAAAAACTCAAATCAGCTAAATAGTAGCGAAAAGCCCAAATTAGAAAAACAATGGCTAAAAGCTAAAGTTTGCAAAACAGTAGCTAAAACAAGAAAATGGTAGCTAAAATCTAAAATAAGCAAAACAATAATCAAAATGTTAAAACTAGAAATGTGGTAATACCAGCAGGACAGTTGCTAAAATCAAAAATGTTCGTAAGAGTAGCTAAATGTTAAAACCAACAGAACAATAACTAGAAGCTAAAGGTAACAAAACAAGTAGATAGCAGCCAAAATGAACAAACAATAGAAGAAACAGTTCTAAAAGCTAAAAAAGCAAACTGGTATCTACAAGCAACAATGGTCGTAATAGTAGCTAAATACTAAAATTATCAACCGGTAGCTAAAAACGTAAGCAGCGGAACATTAGCTTAAAGCTAAAACAGTAGCCAAAAGCATAAATGAGAAGAATAGTTTCTAAAAGCTAAAACAAGCAAGCTGGTAACTAAAAGCAAAAATGATCAGAACAGTAACTAAATACCAAAATTACCAAACAGTAGCCAGATCTCAAACAGCACAACATTAGCTAAAAGCATAAATGAGAAGAATGGGTTTTAAAAGCTAAAACAAGTAAACTTGTAGCTTAAAGGTGCAGTATGTAACTTTTCTAAAAATATATTTTTAACATATTTGTTCACTCTGTCACTATCTCCTGACAGATTGATATTAGACAGGTAAGCTATGGAGGAAAAAAGAGTCCTCTTGCTTTTCCCGGTGGTACTACAGGCTTTAGAAAAATCCAGGCTTACCCGAAAATTAACAGCCAATGAAAACGTAATGTTATGCATATAACTACTGTTCCC